TTCTCTGTATTAAAGTGTGTTTACTTTTCTGGCTTGTTTTAATTCTGTTTATTTTAAATTTTAATAATCTCATGCTAATATTGTAACAATGCAAACAATAAAGAAGTACATGTAATACAAAGAAAAAGTCTCTCTTCACTTTGCCCAGCCCCACTACTCTGTACAGAGTAAACCCTTTTTCTTATTTAAAGTGCGACCTTCCAGATATGTCCTTTTGCATTTAGGCATTTATATATATTTGTCCGTGTAGATACTTTCAAATGTAATTTATATATGATATATAGATAGGATATATAAATGGATGTATATGTGTAGGTGTATATGTCCATATATATGATATATATGCAAATACATGTTATATTTTTGTACTTAACATTATATTTAGAGGGCTTTTCTGTGTAATGAAATACACTTAATAAAAATATAGTTCTTCACACAGTCATTTCGTAATTCATTAAATTATGAATATTAATAGGACAATTTAAAAAATATTTTAAAATTTAACATTGCTATGGACATGCATCTTTGATTACCTTTTTCAAACACATTTCTGAATTAAAATAGATAGGTTGAAGAATATAAACTGTTTTGTGACTATTGATGTGAATGTTTTCCTCTATTTTAATAAACATATCTCCCAAATAAATACATGTATCTTTAATATTTCTTGATTTTACAAATCTGGATATCAGAACAGAGAAAAAAATTCCTTTTTATCTTTCCGTCTGAGAATCTATCTACCGGAAAGCATCATGAATCAGAAATGTCACAGTCACTGGCTCTCAGCCTTTTCTGCACATTGCAGTCCTCAGGGAATTATTAACAAATAATGCTGGCTCCCACCCTTCAGATATTCTGATTTAATTGGGATGGGTGCAACCCGGACACTGGGATTTTAAAAAGCTCCCTGGGTAATTCTAATTTGCAGCAAAGTTTGGAAACCGCCCTCATAGAGCATTCAACCACTGGAAGATACCCAGACACATGTAGCCAAGAGGTCAAATGAAGGTCACTGGACAGATTTCTATGCTTGTTATTTAGAATAAGAACTATTTCTTCTGGTAGTGAAAACATTGCTGATAGAAATGCTGCTGATAGTATTCAAAACTGCTCATCACCTTGACTCAAAATAAATCCAACTAGAAAAATAGGATTGGCCTAACCTAATACTGTAATACTCTAAAGCACTAGATTGTAAAAGCATCTTCCCCAACGGCTGCTGGAGAGTTTGGAAAAAAGGCTCCCCTTTTTGCAAATTGATTTTTGTCTTGGCTGTAGTGTTTGCTTGTTTAAGAATTAATGACTTGATTTGGAAAGAAATAGCTTCCTGTATGGCCCAGATTAAGAAGAGCCCTCTTTACTCTGCCAGAAATTTTGTACAAATGCTAGCATGTAAACAGTGCAACCCGTGACATTTTTTTTACACTCAAACAGGCAAGGTGACACACATGGCTTACGGGCTAAAAGAAACATGAGAGCTGTAACGCAGTTACAATCGGAAGTGCTAAATTTCCCTTGGGACCATAAGGAAAGCTTCCTGCTCTTTGTAGATTGGCCTATTATTGGAATACATTTGCCCACAGTTAATCCTCAAAGTAATTAAATGGAAGGAAGCGATTAAATCACCAAGAAAAAAGTGACTGCTGCATCTGAAACATTCAGACAGAGTAAGATTGTTGGTTAGTCATGAACATTAGTTAAGGAAGCATCTGCCAGTTAACCTGGGCTACTAAATGTGTGTGTGTGTGTGTGTGTGTGTGTGTGTATGTGTGTGTGTGTATAAGCAAATGTGTTGAAATATGAAATAAATCTCTAGTCTGACTAAGAACAGGAATTTTAAAAGTCACAGATACTTTGGTAGAATTATGGTAGACATATATAGTACATAGTCCTTAGCCAATTTAGTAAAGCAGTATTATGTTTTCACCCCAATGACTATAAATGGAAAAAATTATTTAATTGAACTGAACTGAAAGTAGAACAAACAAATACTAACATGGCTTTGGTAAATGTTAGTTTTATCATGCCACTTCCATTTTTAGTGGACTCAGGAAACCTGGTTGTTAATCTTACTGTTTTCTTATTACTCAATTTTGGGCAAGTTAGTTGACCTTTTAGAATTTCCGCAAAATAAAGGGATAGGGCTGTAGGATTTTTAGGTTTCTTCTGGCTCTAAAAAGCTATTGGTCTAAGAAAAAATAGAAAAACACAACCAGAAATCACATGTGAAATTATTAAGATTCAAAATATCATGAGTGGAAAATAAAAGATACATAATGCAATATGTTACATACATATCTGTAACCCTCACAAAATGAGATTCCATGTTCTTCAAGAACTTTGTGCTATGAACAGGAATCCAAAGCAGTATCAATGAGAATCATCTAAAGATATCCATTGTTCTATGCCTCTCTGCATTTCTCGATGATTTCATGCATTGAAAATGCATTACATTTTCATGATTTCGTGCATTTAAATGAAGTAGTTCTAAACAGTTACCAAAAATTGTCCTTTTAAAGTAACGATCTGTACTTATAAAATAACTTTAAGACAGATGCACAAAATTAGATAATGAGTCTTGTCTTGGTGACAACAAGAAAATAAAGTGTCTGCTCTTTGGAGATGGAGTGCATTAGCTCTTTTAGGCCATCTGTGCATTGTTAGGAACTTCTCTCTTGCAATACTCTGAAAAAAAATTAGAATGGTTCTCTCATTGCAAAATGATCTGATTGTCCTATCCTGGCTTGGTTGTTTTGGCCTAATTAGCCATCAGGGTAGATGGTTGCATACTTGATTTGCTCATGGTGACTGAGGATATGTGGGTGGGCAGAATTATTCAATTGACTAGAATACTGTTAACTTTTTATGCATCTATTTAATTTGAACAAACATTAACTGAGCTCCCACTATCCATATTATATACCAGGGACACAAAGTTATGTAACCTCAAATACTTCTTCTTTAGTAACTAATGGTAAAGAGTTAAGTTGAGGGACAAAAATAATTATATAAACTATAATAATAATGTTATTCTATATTCTACTAGGATTAAAATCAAGTTGTTTTGGGACAGACAGCAGAGGATGAAGAAACTCATTTTGACTGAAGTTATTGGATGAGACATAGCTGTGGACAAATTCAGAGAAGATATATTTAAGCAGAACCTTACACTTATGTCAGAATTTTTAATTACCAGAGATCGGCAAAGGCAAAGGTGTGATGTGAAAGGACATGGGATGTCTGGGAAACAGGGAACAGCTCAGAGGTCTGGATCATAGACGGGATTGATGGACATGATAAATAATGGAGTAGAGTGAGACAGAAAAGGCTGTTGGAGCCAGAGTTTGAAGGACCTTGACTTTGTTGCTAGAGAAAATTGTTGAAAAGGATGAAAATGAGAGTGTGTGTTGGCCACTATTAGCTGCCCTAAGTGTTATAAGAAAGAAATGAGGTTAGGCAAGAATAGGCTGATATTAAAGCAAAGTTAGAAGGAAATGGGGAGAAAACAGAGGTCTTATGAGGGCTAGCAAAGTTGAGTGCTTTCATATCTCAAATAGTGAGAGAGGAAACTGAAAAACAGTTTGGGCAACAGAGGTCCAATGAGGCTTTTCATTCAAAGAAAAACCTCAGCCTTATGCTAACATTCCACTTAGAGAAATTTTCATTTCAGATAAGCTAAAGATAGCTGCCATTAATGTATGAAAGAGAGTAACAAGAAAGTGAGATAGCAAAGAAATACACAGATGCGAAGAAATATGTAGGCTTTAGAATTATATGGAAGAAAGAATTGTTAGGCTACTAGTATTTGGAAGGGACTGAAAGCAAATAGATCAGAAGCTTACTAAGTTTTTATGTGAATTGTGTTGCTAAAAATTCATGAGATTAAAGCAACAAAATAAAAGACTTTGATTTTTTCAAACCTGAATACAAACTATGGGTTCAATGTTTGCCCTAGCAGGAAGTTCCTACAAAGACTAAAATTATCAAAGAAGGCATATTCCCAAAAGCCTATCTTATATGTAGCCATGGAGGATAATGGACAAGGAAGAATCTTCCAGAGATGGTGGATCCAAGGCCAATGGAGAACAATGGATAAGAGAGTTTTTCTCAAAGAATAAAATCAGTCTAATCTAGGATGCTTCCTTACTCCAGGGCAAAGGGCTTTCCTGCCCACCCAGCAGAATTTCAGAATTCCTAGGAACTGGTGACTGCTATGTGTGTTTCACTCTTTCATTTTCCAATTGTGAATTTTTATTGCAACTCTCCTTCCCCTGTTCCACCATTCAGAGATTATTTTTTAGAATATAAATTACTGGTCCATAAAACCCTCTCTCAGACCTAAGGGAAAATACTGCATCTGGCCCAAGGATCTTGAACTTTGATCTGATTAGAATGATTGGATGCATTGCTAGGTTGTCTTCTCTGGGGAGAGAGTTAATGTTTGAAATAAAGAGTGAAATATCCACTTGGTGACAAAGGGTAGATAATTGCAGAGACTTCTATATGTTCACTAAAACAAACCGTCTTTTCTTCCTAGGCATAGAGACTATTTCTCAGATGTCCTTGTCAAGGTGAGAGAATGTGGGCAGAGGTATGGTATTTCACTCCTGATCGTTAACAAATTTTCATGTAAATCTTCTACTTCCTCTCTCATATATTGCCTGTTTCCCATTAAGTATCTCCCATTTTCCGGTTGAATGGAAGGGACTCTGAGGACTTAGAGAAGATAGAGACACTAAATGGAAAAAACCTGGGTTCCTAAACGATGGAATGCAACAATCTTGAAAAGCCAGTCAGCTGCTGATTAGACGTAAAAGGGAAAGAAAGAAACTGCTATTATGTAAAACCACTATGATTTTGGTGTTTTTCTGTTATAGCAGAAGTTACATTGACTAGACATACATCCAAAAGTTCATGTTTGGTGGACTAGGTGAGGAGGAGTTCACAGGCCAGAGTGAAGTACCGCACAATAAATCACTAATAATGAATTCTGTGGCCTGGACTATGGTCACACCTGGGCTCCCTTAGGTGGCTGTATTTAGGTGGTGGGTTGACTGGCGGATGGGTTTAGCTATGATGGCTCAGTTGATGGTGTGTCTCCATCTATGTTGTCTTTCATCCTCAAGGCACCTATGTTGGGGCTTTTGGAACCTGGTGGTACCAGAGTTCCAAGAGGGTGAGAGGAAGTTGCAGGGACTCTTGAGACCTTGCTTGAAAATAGTGCAACATTATTTCTGATGCACTGTATTGGCCAAAGGAAATCAGGTAGTCTGGCCAGATTTGGGAAGTAGGGAAACAGACTCTGCCTTTTTGATGAAGAATTTGTGACTATTTTTTATCGTCTACGAATCCTTATAAAAGTACTCAGAATATAGTAAGTGCTCAATAAATGTCGAACTGCATGCATGAATGGAGAAAGTAGGTTGGAGTCCTGAAAAGGAAGATAACATATTGGCAATGCTGCTATTGAAAATGGAAAAAGGAACCAATCATGGATAAGTAAAAGAATTGCTGAGCAACACGGATGGTCCAGCTGAGCTTGAAAATTGTAAATTTGTTTTTCCGCCAATTTTCTCCAATTGCATTTGGTAGTTTGGGAGCAAGCCCACAGAAACAGATGGTTGGGTTGATCCAGGTTAGGGATTAGTACTCTGCAAACTAGCAGTAGTGGGAGGTTGAGTCTGCCCAACTTGGTTCTGTGCCTTCTCAGCTCTCTGCTCACTCAGGAGCTGGCCACTCCATGGAATATTCTGCATCCTAAATGTCCTCACTCATTCTGGTCCACTGTCTGATACCAAAACTCCATGTTGGATTACAAAGTAAGTTAATTGAGATTGTGAGCTATGTGGTTCAGGCCTGAAGTGAAGTACAGATAAACACACACACACACACGCACACAGACACACACACAGACACAGACACAGACACACACACACACACACACACACTGAGGAATTCCATTTGCATTTCTTGGAAGACATATGGGGATCTGATTTTTCCATTTTTTTCCTTTTCAATTCTCCAGGCTACTGCTGGAGCCTTGTACTTCCCACCCCACCATTCCCTGCTGTCAATCCAGCCCTCAAGAAGAGCAGTCCTATTCATAATGCTCCTACTAATTTTCCCCAGTTCTTTCTCCTGGCTCATTAGACCCTTCCTTTAATTCTGTATCATAAAAGTCTTAGGATTGACTGGCAGAATCAGGTTTGTCTCCAAAGGTGGGGAAGAGGGTGAAAAGGGCAAACGTGAGAGTAAGCTGAAAAATTGACAATTACCAGGTCTTTTTGGCAACTAAGGGAGTGCTGAAAACCATGACTACTTCTACCTTATTTTTCTAGATTTTTACCACTCAGACTAATTTTATCTTCTTTCACTGTACTTAATATTTTGAACCCATATTTACTTTCTTGGTCTTCCTTGCCCAAGATGAATGACCAATTTCACTTTGTTCCATGGCTCATAGACAATTTCTGTTTTGCCTAGGATTCTTAGCCTCAGGGAAAGCCCTGTCTCTACACAATCATTTCCTCCTTTCCTAATCAGCATTCCTATGCAGGGGAAGACCCACAGGAGGAGGCAAGTAAACCAAAGAATCAAGATTTAGTGCTTGGATATAAGACACTGAAACAGAGGAGGTCAAGGAATTGGGTGCTTAGATGATTTTTCAGTGTTGGTGGTGGAGTTGCCTAAGATGATGGGGGAGAATACAGAAGAGAATAACTATGATGTGGTTTGGCTGTGTGCCCACCGAAATCTCATCTTAAATTATAGCTACCATAATCCCCATATGTCATGGGAGCGACCCAGTGGGACGTAACTGAATCACGAAGGCGGGTTTTTCCTGTACTGTTCTTGTGATAGTGAACAAGTCTCTCGAGATCTGATGGTTTTATAAAGGGAACATATTCTCTTGCCTGCCACCATGGAAGGTGTGCCTTTGTTCCTCTTTCACCTTTTGCCATGATTGTGAGGCCTCCCTAGCCACATGGAACTGTGAGTCCATTATGCCTCTTTTTTCTTAAGACTTTTTTCAACGTCTTGGGTATGTCTTTATTGGCAATGTGAAAACGGACTAATACAACTATAAACCAATTAACAATGTCCTGAGAGAATATATGGGGCTGCACTGAATGTTGGTAGATGGTGGATAGAGTGGATAGGAGCAATGCCAATGAATGGAGGGTTTCAAGAAAGTGACAAGACAGTGGATCAGAGGCATGGAAACAGCTGTGGGAAAGCAGGAGGAGCATGCTGTGCCTCCTTGATATGACAGGCTGAGTGGATACTAGGGAGCAGCACTTTCCATAAAAGAATTGGAGGGAAGTTACACCATCTGCAAAAAGTTAAGTGGAGTCAGTAATCTCAGTTTGTACTTTCAGGCTGTAGATTTCAGGATAACAGGAAAAAGATATCCTCAGTTGTAAGAAAGTTACCTTGTTAGCTGTTTTGAGACTCCAAAGTGAATCTTTTAGTATAACTCCTTAATTCATTCTTGTATCAAATAGTTATTGGCCAGGAACAAAACAGAGTGCTTAAATATAAGGACGAATAAAATAAGATCTGCCATTAAGCAGCTCACAGTCTTTTTAAGGCAGAAGGAAAACAGACAGGTAACTTAAAACAAATTGTAAGTTGTATGATAGCAGTGAGCACGGTTCTATGGAACACCGAGTAGAGTTGTCCTACCAGAATAGGGGGTAGGAGGTAGACTCAGAAAAAGAAGCCTGAGCTGTGTCTTTAAATATGAGTTAATGAGGTAAAAGAGTATATGTGTGTGTGTGTGTGTGTGTGTGTTAGGGAGAGGGAGGGGATTGAGGTCCAGGAGCAAAAGGGATTATAATTACTATATTTCAATTTCACTCCATTCTGGGTAGTCACAGTCTAAATAGTTGAATCAGGTTTAATTGAATCTCCAATGTGAGAAGACTTTCCATTATTTCCTTTTATAAGAGAAGTGGAGCCAAGCCGAAGCTCACACTTTGGCAACTGATCCTGTGTAAACTGTATTGCTCCCTGAACTAACCCTCTCTTGAGGCTGGGAAGACACTTATGCTGTTGACTCGATTTGATCAAAGGACAGTTTGAAGGAAGCCAATATCAACAAACCTCTCTTTGGGCTGTCGGAAATAGTGTTTCCATTTTATTTATTTGAAAGAATCTTGTGTCTTAAATCTTGGGACGGGCCATTTGAGAGTTGTCTGATTATTGTGCAAGTTGTTTTAAAAAGTCTCACAAGAAATGATTGTTTTACCTTTCTATTTTAGTGCTAACCAGATATGGATGGCAAATAATAGCACCACTGTATAGTAGACATTTTGGTGGGAAAATGCTGTTCACAAGAGGAACCTTGGCTGGTCATGATATTCTGGGCAACTTGGATTGTTAAGAAGATAACTTATGTGACTAGCACTTTCCTGAAACTGCAAGACTCTTCTTCCCACATTCAAACTTCCAGAATGAATTTTGTTGCTTGCAGTAGGTAGCACTACTTGTGCTCAGTTACTTATGGCCCCCAAAAATAGAGAACAGGAGTTAACAAATGCTTTATCTGATGTTCACTATAATTTGAGCGTTTGCAAAGTAGTTCTAGTTCTTGGATATAGCAGTTGATGGGACACTAGAGTTGAATTCGTGACATCATAACTACTTAGAAAGAATGAAAGAGGGAAAATGGGTAAGAATTTTTTAAGGAACCAGTTTCTCAGTTGTCAGTATTTTCCTTTATAAAGATAAAAAAATGAACATTCAACTTTGAAAAGCAAGTGTTTTATCTTTCATGGGCTTGGTTAGGTGAGTAGAGAGAATTCCAGTTGAAATGGACAGACAGAGAGCCAAGGAATTTTAATAAAAATCTGGGATCTTTTCATGTGAAGCAGATCTGAGTCAAGGTAGTTCTGCCCTCAAGAATCTGTTACAGTAATCATTTCCTTTGGGACTTAAAAAAAGGACTGTTGACATTTGCTCCCTCTAGGTACCTATAAAAGAGTTCCAGCTACATAGAAGGGCTGTGATACTTTCAGTTAAGCAAGGAAGAAGTTGTAAATGTGGGCAATATAATGTTATAGGTTTCACTAAAATTTCTATTATTTATTCCATCAGCTGGTTGCTTTTTAGTGAGCACCTATTACGTGCTTTCTTGTTAGGAGCAGAGGATACAGTAATGAAGAATAAAGTATCTACTTTCTTGAAAATCTGAGTCTATCAGGGAGAGAGATAGCACTCCAATAGTGGATTAATTGTGATTATGAACATCTACTATAATGGGTAAGTACAGGATCGAGGAGCCTGTGCAATAGGGTAAAGGAAAAGTAGGGGATGGGATGAGCTGAGAAGTAAGCACTAAGTAAAGATATTTGTACATGCAAAGGGCCTGGGGTAGAAAGGGATTTAGTCCTTTGGTAGAATTGAATGAAGGCTTGTGTGGCTGGGGAAAGGGAGAGAAGAAGCATGGGAGAGATTGGCAAAATGTCAGTTTGGAGAGATATGGAGGGACAAAATCATGCTGGGCATCACAATCTTGCAGAAAGGAAGGGGGAGTAGTTGAAAGGCTTTAAGCAGGCGAGCAACATGATAAACAGTACAGCTTAATGGGATTTTAATAAAGCATTATATTGTTGATTATAGAAGTAAGTTTCCTTCGGGGTTTTTTTCTTTAATTGAAGACATAGTTTTTCAATTTAATTTTTATTCTAATTTCTTTTGCAGATAGTAGAGAAGATAATTTGTATGTAATTGAAGGACCACATTCTACTTAGCTTGAAGTCATTGTGATAGGTAAGAATTTATAAATAGCAAATCTGCTGGATTTAGTTATCTGTCATATTGGAATTTAGAAGTGGCAGATCTCTTATCAGTGACCAAATACCAAATAACAGAAATATAACCTGATAATTTTTAAATTAAAAATACCCTGATATGTAACCGTGATGTAACTGAGGTGAATATCAAAATGTGTTTGCCATGTAGAAAAATAAAAAACATAACAGATTTTTCAGTTCTAAAAGAGAAGTGAAATTTCTAAAGGCTAATAATGTTACCTGAACACCTGGTTCAGACAACTAGCAATGGGGACTCAATGCAAATGAACAGGGAGGTCTCATAGAAAGGGGCTTCATACTAGATTAAACAAAGGCAGTCCAAACTCTAATATATATAAAGGATTTATTGTCGCAATAGTAGTAACACCCAAGTCGAAATTTTCTAGGACAGTCTTGTTATAAAATACTCTCTTACATTTTAGATACATTGATGCTTTCTAGGCAACCACGTCTCTCTCTTGTTTTAAGAAATAGGTCTAGTGGCATCAGGATTCTAATTTCTTCTTTGCTGTCACTACCTAGAATCTCCTCCTCCCCTCCTCCTTATCTTCCTCTTCCTCCTCATCTTCCTCCTCCTTCTCCTCCTCATCTTCCTCCTCATCCTTCTCTTCCTCCTTCTCCTCCTCCTTCTTCTCTCCTTCCCTATCTCATCTTGATAACCTGAACTCCAATCCCCAGGATGCCAATCCATTAGTTAAATGTCCAGTACAACTTGCCTTTGTTTTGTCACTGAAGATGACTCTTTCCTTTAGTCTTTTAGCCTTTCCAAGTCTGGCTATACAAATTCATGAATGGCTATGATTGTGTCAGAGGGATTAAAAACACCAAAAAAGATGAAGACTATAGGTTGAAGGAATTTTATTCCTGGTTTTATTAATATTACTATTAGTTAAATATCTTAGAGAATGTCAGTCGTATCATGAATTTAATTTGGGGTTGCAAAAGAAAGTGGAAAACGATCCACCTGGGTTTCCTTTTGTGATGTTCCAGGGAGCAGATTCTATTCATGAGGAGTAATAAGTGGGACAAGTCCTAAAGCGCTAAGAAGGTAGTGATGATGGTAGTGATCAAGTAGTCACCATTTTGGAAAGTGGATTATGTACCGTCCGTATGCTTAATGCTTTACAGACATTATCTCGTCTGATCTTCTCAACAACCAATCAATGCTGTTTTTATAGGTATTCTGGTATTACTGATGGAAAAAATGAGGTTTAGAGAGGTTAAAGAAATTTTTTAAAAGTCATTTCACTTGTAAATGAAAGAAGTGGGATCCTATGTCTGTCTAACCTGACTCCAGAGTCTATACTGTGGACCACTAACTATCAAGGGGTTAACAGTGGAGCTGATCTGTGGCCAAGAGATGTCTCTAGAGCTTGAATGTCCTTATTCCTTGGAGCAGCTTATTCATACTGCCCTAGCCTATTGTATCACTGTCTGTCCTTTTTCACTGAAACTGAGCTTGCTATGGTCTGGAAAAGCACAATGGTTTCTTTGGTGCAGCCTGTGGTTTTAGAGCTTACAGTGAGAAAAGCATGCAGATAAAACATAGAGCATCCTACTGAGACACAAGTCCAAGCAATGCTGCCATAGAGAGCCAGAAAAGCAAAATGGTTCCTAACCCTGGCAGGAAATAGCATGGACAAGTAAAGAAACAGGTTTGGCAGACCCTAAGATGGGAAAACTGTATGCCAGCGTGGAATTCCCCCAGTGACTATCATCAATCCCCCTTTTAGTAGTATGTGTAAAGACTCATGAGCATCAGATGTATTCAACATGAACAGCACAGCCTTAAATGTTTCTTTCCACAAGGACCAAAAACTTTACTATGGTTTTTGCGTCAGGACCTATTGTTAAATGAACTGATGTCTTTGAAGCACCTTTCAGTGCTTGAACAGTCAGAATTTTAATAATTGGGACGATAATCCTAGCATTTTGGAAGGCTGAGGCAGGGGGATCACTTGAGCCCAAGAATTCAATACCAACTGGGTAACATACCAAGTCTCCACCTCTACAAAAAATAAGAAAATTAGTCAGGTATGGTGGCTTGCACCTATAGTCCTAGCTATTTGGGAGGCTGAGACATGAGGATCATTTGAGCCTGGGAGGTTGAGGCTGCTGTGAGCTATGATTACACCATTGTATGCCAGCCTGGGCATCAGAGTGAGACCCTGTATCAAAAAAAGAGAGTTCTTTTCACTGATCGCTGATGATAAAACGTCATTTCTTCTAAAGATCAAAAGCTCCTGGTTTCAAATTAAAACTATGCCTGTATGTGCATGCAGTAGAATAAGAGACAACTAAAATGTTAATTCGTTCTCCTTTTAGTATCACACGGAGCTTACCTGGCATGTCATAAGCAGCAATTCTGAGGTTTCAAAAGAGCTTCTTGCTGAACTTCTTGTTCAGTTTGCCTCCACGCTTTCCCCTACCACCAGAAAATTTAAACAAAACAACCTGCTTTTGCCTGAATGACCTAGGTAACAACCTACTTTAGCTTGAGCTGCTTAGATACTTCAGCCAAAAATGGCTTATTTCCATGAGTCACCTGGATAATTGCATTACTCTGCTGGCCCACTTAGCTGGGTGGGCCAGCAGGTGTTAAGTGCAAGTGTCAACGAGTACTTCATTGTTTTCCACTCTATGGATAGTACTGTGACAGTTTCTTAGTGCCTGGAGAAGTACCTCTTAGATTCAATTTCAGCCCTTGGGCTTCCTTCTTTTAGATGGATCATCCTTGCTATGTGACGAAATAGTCCCCTTCTATCTCCATAGGGCAACTTTGTATCATGCATATATGTGTGTGTGTGTGTGTGTGTGTGTAGCTTTGTGGTTTTGAAGAAAAATTACTTCAACAAGTACTTCTTAAATACTTCCTGGCAGAGCGCTCTCTGTGGGAGATACAAAAGGAGATAAAGACAAGATATTTTCCTCAAGATACAGCTGTTTAAGGACACTGGCACATATGAACCATTAGAAAGTCTCTACATGTTTACTGTTGACCTATTTGGAAGTGTAATTAGAGTTGAAGAGGCTAAAATATTTGGAGAAATCTGTGGGAGGGCTTACCCTCCATTTCCTGAGGTATAGATTCATTGTCATTTTTTTTTTTTTTTTTTTTTTTTTGAGTAGAGTTTCACTCTTGTTGCCCAGGCTGGAGTGCAGTGGTACAATCTTAGCTCACTGTAACCTCCACCTCCCAGGTTCAAGCGATTCTCCTGCCTCAGCCTCCTGAGTAGCTGGGATTACATGTGTCACCACGCCCAGCTAGTTTTTGTATTTTTAATAGAGATGGAGTTTCTCCATGTTGGTCAGGCTGGTCTCGAACTCCCGACCTAAGGTGATCCACTTGCCTTGGCCTCCCAAAGTGCTGGCATTACAGGCATAAGCCACCATGCCCGGCCGCATTGTCTTTTTTTTTTTTTCTCCCTGCAAATGTATTATATGGTTTACTCTGACAACATATAACCTAATTTTCTAGAATGGCATCACTGAAGAAAGATAGTTGTATGCCTCATTTAGAGGGTAACTCAGGGTTCGTGGTTCTCCAAAGGAAAGACGGCAGACAGTTTTGGCTGCAAAAACACTTGAGGTATTTAGAAAAAAATCCACACTGTATACTTTACTTTTATGACCGAGTTTTTTAGATGCTTTTGAGAACACAAAATAAATAGAAAACACATACAGGAAAAGAAAAAAAAAAAAACTTGCCTCATGTGGAACAATCAACATTGTAAAACTAAACTTTAACTAATTTTTTGAAACCTATTTATATGTAAAAAAAAATTAGTGCCCTAGCTTCAGTTTTAAATTTCATAAAATTTGACGTCATGAAATAAAAAGGCAACTTTCTCTGCTTTTTTATTTCCCTTTTCCCTGATTATAAAAGAACAGATTTTAAAATTAAGTGGAAAGACCAAATTTTTTTATTTTTATTTTTTATTTTTAAGTAGATATTTGAACTTTGATGTAAGAGCTCACCACTTCTATGCTTACAGTGTTTAAATTCTCTGGCATGAAACTTTTAGGCTTGAAATAAATGTCACTAACATGATTTTGAAGGTCAGGCTGGTGAACCACCAAAAATGTCTGACAGCTCCAAAATAGAGTATTTACATCTGGCTCATGGCATCGTGCTCTTTGCTATGATGTAGTCGGGTTGAATAAGTGGAGCAGTGTGAACTGAACCTCCGTAGAACTTGACATTTGACCCCAGAGGTCTATATGCATCATTTTATTCTCTATCCCCTCCTGCCTCCCTCCATGTGGGCAGAAGAGACATAAAAATCCACTGACTTTCTGCAGGAACGCTTGGCCTGGTTTCCCTGTAATACCTGTTTATACATGAATCAACCCAAAATTAACTTCAGGGACAGCAGGATATGCCTGACCTTGTGAATTAAAGTATGAAATGCACTAGAAATATGATTAACCAGATTTCTTGGTAAATGGGTTGTTCTGTTTAGCTGGAGTTCTGGTTGTTTAAGAATGAGTTCTATTGCTATTTTTATTTTCGTACTTCTTATTTAATTGGCATTACAAAATGTTATTAGCTTTCTTATCATTGGAAACATGGTTATTAAATGCTACTTGATCTTCCTTGATGACTCTGATGTTATGACATCCTTACATGATCATTCCAAACATCATTAATCTAAAGATCATAGTAGACATTCAGAAAAATGACAAGGTTGAGGACTAGGATTGAGGAAAATGGGATGGGGAACGGAGGGCATGGGCAGAGGGTAGTTTAGTTTTAGTTAACTGGGATTATACTGCAGAGGATGTTCCTGATAACTGATTTCAAAGCTTTCAGTAATGTGTCCTGTTTACATTTAAGCTAGATTCTAATAGAAAACCCTAAAGAATTTGTCATATTTTTGTATGAGATCACCTCTTAAAACAAGCAAAATAAATTCATTCCATTTCTAAATTCATTTGATAAAAGAAGAATACATG